CCCTCATTTAGACCTCAGGCAAAACTATTTATAATGGAAAAATTCGGTATAAAGCAAATCAATTCAATTTTTAATACAATTACATCAATTTTTGATACTGATAGAGCCAAATGACGAAGAAAGATAGACGAAACTCACCCGTGTTGTCATATTTATGAACCCATCTCTTTTTAACTCTCAAAAAAGTGTCAAACCATGTATGATTAAAAAATTGAGTTTTTACGATGAGTATCTCGAAAACTACTAAAAATATTATAAAAAAAAAAAAACTTCTTATAAATTTTTTAGGTATAATTAGTACTTTTCGAGATATTCCGCTTGAAGGTCCCTGAATTTTCTCTCAACTTCGGAAGATGAAATCATAGCTATCATTGATTTGGACAAATTGTTATAATAGACTCTGTAAAATTTAATATTTTATGATTAACGTTCATTTGAAAGGTAGAATTAGCAGCGATCACATTTTGGAATAGTGTTGAATTTTTTCCTATTTATTGATAATAAAAAACTGAGGAAACACTCCTTCGCGCAAAAAAATTCAGATTTTTACAATATTTCGTGATAACTAATATTAAAAGCTCTAACTTTTTCAGATTTTTTTTCATCATTCTGAACGATTTTTTCACGGTAAAAAAAAAGAAAAAAATATTTTTTTTTGAAAAGGATAGTCCTTTTTTGGAACAACTTGTCATTTTGTCTTTTTTTTCTAAATAAAAAAAAAAAAAAAAAAAAGGGAAATTAAAACAACTTTCTTCACAAATAATGTAGTTAAATTAAAATAAATTATTATTAATATCCAAATAGATAAAGTAAATAACTAAATTTAGTGGAGATTTATAAAAACACAACTTATTCTCTTAAAACAGTAAAAATTTACAACCTAGGTCATGATTAAAAAATGAAAACATAAAAATTCAGCCCCTTTTTCTCACACCTACAAAAGAAGTTTCTTTTTCCAGAAATAAGGAGGTGCCCTCATCTTTACTTGAATCCTTTTTTATTACATTTTAAACCGACCAACTCGTATGGACGCAAAACGAATTTTAGTTTCCTTTTTGTCTCCTACATACCGGAGTCGATCTCCCTCTCGAAACTCTTTTAATCAAGCTTTTTCGCGCGCGATTTACATTTAAAATTTACACGAGCTCGACACTCTGCATTAATTCGCGCCGCGCCGCGGCTTAATCTACTTGTGGAGGTACGCTTATTTAAGGAGATTAACTGAAAAATTGGAACTCCTCTCCTGTGGCAAGATTAAAAGACAAATCAAGTCTAATCTAGGCGTCAGCTGTTTTGCATTTTTAGTATTTTTTAAAAAAAAAAAAAAAAAATAAATTATTGAAAATAATACCGTTATTTTGAGTAAAAAAGGACTAAGATAAGCGAAGTCTAATATTTATTTATGCATTTTTTTTTGTAACATTTGTGAATTTAGAGGAATTGACAACCAAATATGGATTGGTATCCCTAAAGGTTGATTTTTCTCACTATCCTCTTCATACCTGTTCCGTTCCCTTACCGTACATGGTTTAGGTTTGTAACCCACTACCCACGGCGAAATACGCGCCACGTATTCATTCGGAGAGCCCTCAGGCTGGATAAGGTATTTCATTAGAGAAAAATTAATCAGTAATAATTAACAAAAGATATATAGATATTGGGCGCCAGGCATGTACAGAGAAAGAAAGCACAGTTGTATAATGCCAAAACCGTATATTTATTCATGATGAATTCTGATGGTAAATAGCAATGTACAATTTTAATAATTATTATAGTGGTTATTTATTGAGTAAAACTATGTATGTAAATAATATTAAATATGTTCTATGAAAAGAAGACTATGAAAAAATACAATGCGTGTAACGTTATAGAAAATATAAGAAAAGTAACATTACTTTATTTAAATTGTTAAATTTTATGCGGTGTTAAATCTGATGTGTTGTTGCAACCTCTTGGATTCTAAGAATATAATATTCTGTTATTCATCTGTTAATATAGCGCAATAATAATATCTATAGAAAGTAATACTTTTACAAGGCGTAATATAATGAAACCTAAAATCTAAATCACATTGTAACTTCTGCATCGACATAAATGTTCTTAACAATCTAACCACTAAATATAGTCTGTACGATATCATTTAAAATGTACGTTACTGTTTAAGACTGAAAACTTATTTTGGAAA